TTTATTTAGGTTTTCGTCTTATTTTGACTTGCTCAATCTTTTCTTAAATTTATGCCAATAAGTTTAGGGACACCTTGTATATCAACATCTTGATATTTATTTTTTTATTTATTTCTTTTAAGGTTTTCGTCAAAAATTTATTATATTAGCCAGAATAAAAATGTTTTTAATAAATTTATAGTAAAAGTAAAAGCAAAAAAAATAATTCTTAACAAAAAAATTATAATTATAATTTCAAAAAATATTAATTAAATGTCATTTTATTTTTATTACTTTTATAACACAGCCCTGCCATAGATTAAAGCCTGATTTATAGATTGCCTTCCTTCCTTCCTCGCGTGAAAAATGAACAATACAAAAACCGTTGTGCCATTTATAGATTCCCGTACGGGAATCTATAAATGGCACTACGATTTTCGTATTGTTAATCTTTTACGGGAGGAAGGAAGACTCTAGCACTCTTGAAGGGTACTTTTGCACCCAGTATAAAAAAACATTTGTTTTAAATAAACAAAACCATGTTTGAAATAACCGCAATTTTGTTTGAATCTGAAAAAAATTATTCATTGTCTTAACAAATATTAGGGAACTATAGTCGGGTTGAAAAGTGGTGGATTTGGCAAAATTAGTATTTTTAAGTTTTAAACTGTATTAATAATTTATGTATTGTAGATATTGTTTTTAATCGTAATTTAATTATAAATATATCTGTTAAGTATTAATAAATAAATTGTGTTTTTATTAAACAATGTTTTTATTAAAAAAATAATTTCTTAAAATCCTATATATCACAATATTCAGTTAATTATTGACTTCTCATTAAAATAATAAAATTCAATTTTTACAGCTACATACTTCCACACATACAGGGTGTTAATGTAATATATTAAACTGGGTAGTTCCTTTTTTTCTAAATTCTAAAGACTAAAAATAATTTATAATAACCTTTATCCTAACAATAAGTACGCCACTTATCGACTAGGAACTTTAGGCTAATCTGGTTGCCTAATTTAATTTATTATGTTATGGTTGGTAACAACCAGCGTTTCCAGATTCTGTCAAAAAAAGTTGCCAAATTTTGTTTAAATTTTTTGGTTGGTATCTATGTACTCACAGAGCACAAGTGTGTAACCAGTGGCGTATTAAAAAAAACATAAAAAATTTCTAATGCATATTTTTTCTTTCTTTGGGAAAATTCTATTATATTCTATTCAATGCAAACATACGGTTATTTTCACTTCCCCTACTTTAACCCTACAAAAAGGAAACAGTATCACTTAGAAATGATTTGTATACAGTTAATTTTTTTTTATCTGGACTCGTGTTTTTTGTTAGGTTGGTGGCTTATGCCAGTTTGACTTAGTATTTTTAGTATTTAAAAAATGGTACTCCTGCTAAAGAATTTAATTAAATACTTTGACACTGTCAAATTGACAATAATATTTATTATTGATAATTTACTTGTCAATTATGAATAAAAAGATAATTATGCCAAAAATAATAGCAACGAATTCGAATGTAAAACCCCTTTTGAGGGCAAAACTTAATTTTGATGAAATTATGCCAAATTCCACAATGGAAGAAAAAGTACATCGCCTTATGGACATTTTTGGAGTAAAAAAGTAACGAATTTGGTTTTATAAATATTACATCACACATTATTTTCACATTACTCACCATTGGACAACATTTACGTTCAAAATTTTTTTTAATTTCTTTTATATAAATTCTTTTTAAAGCGAAGATTATTATCCGCTAGGAATACTTTCTCTTCTGGGCCGTAAAGCAACCTATATTTAACTACTTTTTTATACGATTTTACTCATCCAAGCACCACCAAAGCCAGATTAATGGCATTTTTAACTACGAATTTCGACAACTCAACTTGACAACTGCACAATGTAACCTACAATAATTTATACATAACCGCAATTAGATTTATAACTAGCTTAGTTTGTTTTAATCAATGCGACCAACTTGACAAGTGTATTTACCAATCAAAACCCTATATTTGCAGTCCAGATAAAAAAAAATAACTTTATGTGTGGAAGTATGTGCTTTATCTCTGCTAGAACCCAATGGAAATTTAACCTCAAACCTCTTAAGAAAATTTTCCATTAAATTAATATAAAGTTATTTTTATTTCGGCGTAATCTAAGGAAAAAGGATATCGTTTAATAAATAAACTTTTTTTTACAGAAAGTCTCGACGATCGGTGTTTAAAATCAAGAGGTAAACATTCTAAGAAATATCAAACAGAGGAGGTTAAAAAGCATGTTAATAAAAAACAGAAACAATATAAATGTGGCAATTGTAATTACGAATCTACAAATAAAAGTAGTTTTAACAGTCACTCAAAAATTCATGACATAAAAAACTATTTAAATTGCCAATTTTGCCAGTATACGACTACTCGACTACATTATTTTAATGCACACCTTTTAAGTAAACATAAGCTAGAAAATCAAGGTAAAAATAAAATAGAAATAACAAGCAGAATACATCAGTGCCCTAAATGTCCATACTCAACTGTTAGAAAAACAAACTTTGATAACCATGTAAAAGTTTGCCTAAAATTAAAAAATGTCAAATGGCATAAATGTCAAATTTGCAACCACAAAACTATTTATAAAAGTCATTTAACCAGGCATGTGAAAAATCATAGTAAAATAAAAGAGCTGAAATGTTTATTCTGTCAATACCAATGTAACAAAAAACAAAGTTTAGACAATCACATTCTATTTAAGCATTTGGATTTGTTAAATGATTCCAATAAAAATTTAATCACTTCCAAAGTTCATTCGTGTCAACATTGTAACTATAAAACTACAATAACAAGCGGTTTAAAAAATCATTTAAATTATAATCATTAAAAATATTTAAGTATCACGGAGCCTACCCAAGGAGTACAAACTCCATGTAGGTGTGTTCAGAAAATAACGGGAATTGTTAAATTTCGCGGGTTCGGAGGTCCGGTTGTCATAAAATTTTCTTTATTATGTTGGTATACATGCCCCCGAAGTATGATACAAACTTTTGCTGTTTTCATTGTTTACTTTGTCTGTGGCAGCCGCTAAGGTTAGACGTGTTTTATGAGCTCGGCGATTTTTCGTTCGTTAAAAGAAATGGATCAAAGAATTTGTATCCAATTTTGCTTAAAAAATTTAATAAATTCTGCGAAATGTTAACAAAGGCCTATAGTGAGTCTGCTATAAGTAAAACAAGAGTTTACAAGTGGTATAAGAGTTTCCAAGATGGCCGTAAGATGACGAACGCCCCGAACGCACAAGCACATTAACAACCGATAAAAACATGGAAAAAGTGGAAGAAATGGTTATAAACCATCAGAGAAGTCGCTAATGATGTTGGTATATCGATTGGCTCATCCCATGAAATTTTTTTGAATGTTTTGGGTATGAAAAGCGTGGCAGCTAAATTTGTTCTAAAATTGTTAAATTTTGAACAACATTTTTGGCCAAAAACAGTACTGTAATGATGCCCCAGCCTCCATATTCGCCAGACATGCCTCTGTCTGACTTTTTCCTATTCCCAAAAATAAAGAGAACCTTAAAGGGCCGTCGTTTTGCAAGCATAGATGACATTAAAAGCGCATCGCTGAAAGAACTAAAGGCTATCGCAAAGATCGAGTTTTAGAAGTGTTTCGAGTATTGGAAAAAGAGCTGGCACATGTGCATAATATCCAATACGAATAAATAAATATTTGTTTCAAAAAACGAAAATTCCCGATATTTTCTGAACACACCTCGTACATAACAAATGTCTTCCCAAAATAAGAGGGCGCTAGTGTTCTGTTTCTACCGAAACAGCAAAATGGAAATCAGCGCCTCTGGTGGCGAAAAAAGAAATTTTTCCGTTTCAGTTCGTACTCCTTGTGTGGGCTCACAAAACTAGAAGGTGTTCTAGTTTTGTGTGTGGGCTCCATGTTAAGTACAATTCACACCTTGACATTTGAATACAAATAATTGAGGTTATGTCAGTTTAATTTAATTTAGTCTTATTTTCTGAAAATAATACAATAAAGTAAATTATATTATGTATTTTTTTGTTTAGAAAACAAAAAATATATAGGTATAATGTATCATTTTAGGCAGTAAGACGAAATTAGCGTTAAACTGACAGATAGATCACCTCAATTATTTGTATTTAAATGTGTATTCTAACCGAACGTTTAAAGTTTGTAATTTAATTAAGTGTAGCTGTTAATAAAATATTACCATTTTTAATTATTTTTTATTTAGTACTCAATTTCCATCGATTATTCTTTATATCATTGATTAAGAAACTCAACGCTTAAATGCTTATATAGCTACGTTAGTGTGTGTATTTTACCTAAGGGATCATGGTGAATTATTGGGTTTTTAATTGTAAATAAAATTCAAGAGCTAAACCGTTGCATTTTCATGTTTTGCCAAAGGATCCAATTCGGTAGGTACATTTGTTGGTGCAGAATTAACTAATGATGACTTTACCTAATATAATTTATATTTAAGTTTGGACATTTTTAAGAAATTAGTAAAAAATAATTTTTGCACAAACATTTTTATGTTTATGAGTTCTCTAAAAAACGCCGACAACTGCATTTTAAACAACAATATATACCTACCTACGAATTCATGGCAACATAATATTATTTATAATACATGTATGTATGTATTATATAATGGTATTTTACCGTTGTGTGAAGACTTTCTTAATCAACGCTTTTAATAATGCTAAATGCTGTTTAAATTTAGACGACTTATTTGTTTGACGATTTTTACTGAATTTAAATGTTTACACTTTTCACGTTAATCATTACTAAAATGTGTATATATTGTATCTAATAGGTAGATACAATTTATATTTACTGTATGAAATTTATTTCTTTATTCGTATTAACACTGTTTATTGGAAAACCGGTAAAAACTCAACCCAGGATTTCCTCTCAAAATACTGGGTGTATATACACAACAAATCGTGCCACGGTGCTTTTTTGTGACATTTCCGGCTTTATTATCAAAAACACTCCTTTGTAACACTTAGATACTTCTTTAGCGTATAGTAAACCAACAAAGAACAATTATTTTCACTGACATCTTTAAAGAAATATATTTTATTCAACTACCACAAGGAATTTAAAACCAATTTTATTCGATATTCTACTTTTTCCAATTTTAACTAACTTCTGCCTCTAAGCGAAGTAAAATTTCGCCCACTCATCGAAATAATACTATTATAATTTCCATAGAAATAACAGTGCACTCGCTTCCCTAGTCTAGGGTGTAGCCGTTTGAAATTCAAATGCCATTCTGCGAACTTCGCCAAATTCGGTCTTTCTCAGTGTTGCTAACTTGGTGGTTTAAATCCCCCTGCTGGTGGGTAAAAATTGTTTTTAGTGTAATGGTTTTTATGGTGGGTTTATGTATGTTTTATGTATAAATCGTGTCAAAACGACAAGACTAGTGAAAACCGGAAGTAAGTTATCCATAAAGAGAGCAATTTTTTTAAATTGGCAATCAATATGAATCTGGTGGGAGTGAAAAAATAGTTGGCAACACTTTCTCATAGACGAGACACAACTAGACGTATACCGTCCAATGTTTTGCTTCGCTTTTGGTTTATAAGGTCGAAATCGCATTTTCTTTTTGTTCACAAGCTCAAAAATCGCGTTTTGTTTACAGACAGCGTGGTTTATAAGCCTGAAAATCGCGTTTTTGCAACCAGTTATACGTCTAGTTGTGTCTCGTCTAAGGTGTTTCTTATTATCTGGTAGTATTTCTAGGGATATATTAGGGAATTTTCTGTCAAATATCAAAATAGTCATTTTCTGTCAAATATCAGTCATTCCGTTTGTTATCCGTTTTCTATGTTTGTTATGCAAATAAAAGCTTACAAGAAGTGTTTGTTCGAATATTGGATTTGGAATAATATTCTCATCTTGTATTCATGCCTAATAATTAATTAGCTTTTGTGCAGTTTGGCAGCTATGTCTTAAAAAGCTATAAAAATGTCTGAGTTACTTATTTTTCGGTCAAAACATCCTCAGGGTGAGTAAACACGTTTAATTAGTTGTTTATGGCTTATAAAGGTTTTATATTGTTTTTTAAAGCTTGCCAAAGAGGTAATACAACTCTTCTGTGATTGTTAAATATAAGTAGTAGAGTTTTCATACATAATGGAGCAGATAGTCTTTAAAAAAGAGCCTGAAGAACTAGTCGACGATTCAATTAATTATGATAAACCAAGTACCTCTGTTGACCAAGGGATAGCAATAAAACATGAAATCAAAGAAGAATTAGAAACGTCAACAGATGAAGAAAACGATTTTAAAGTCAAACTGAAATTTGAAACCAAAGATGAAATATATCTGGGCAAAGGGTAAGCATTGTTGCCATTTGCATTATCACCATGACAACAGTTGTTTGACAGTTGACAAGTGACAGTTGTTTGACAGTTGACAAGTGACAGTTTTAACCTGGGACACAGCCTGTTTGTTCCTATCCCAAAACAGTACCTATACACAATTAGTCCCTCTTTAAAATCTGTATTTTACACAACTTATCCATAATTTTAGACCTGAAGAAAGTTACAATAATTATTCTGATGGAGATGAAATTGAAGATTTTTATTACAATATTAAGGAAGAAGAAAGGGGCAATGACTTTTCTGAAGGTGATGATAAAAATTCCTCACACAATGGAGATAATGAAGAAAAAGATGAGGATGAAGCCAAGTTTGAGGTTAAACATGATGAAGAATCAGGGTAAGTTTTACTTTGTTACTGACATTGGAAATGTTTTATAGCTCTGATTTAGTAATTTTAACTGAATATATTAAAATCAAAAATAATTATCTGTTCATTATACCAAACTATTAAAACAATCATTTTTCTTGACCATTATGGTCAGACCATACCATACCTACTTCATTTAAAATTAAAAGATTCTGATTTATATATTACAATGCTAGGGACTGACAATTTAAGCACTAATAATTAGTATAACAATTATTGTTAATTTTATAAAAATTTTTTATATATAATTTTATTATGGTTTAAATGTTTTGTAGGACCGACAGTGAAGTTGTAGAAGCAAAAAATGGTAAGTGTTGTTTTTTTACTACATTTTGGAGTATTAGTTGCAGAAACGTTTATTTATTTATATCAACTGATTTATGCATATCCACTGATTTAAGTTTGAACCAATTTGGCAACATAGCAAATTTTAAATGACATTAAAGATTTGTAGGTTATCTTACATATACTTAAGAGTGATACATTTGTAAAATGTATTATTAAATATCCTCATAAATACATTTATAACTGACTAAACCTTATTATTGACAAAAACTTGGTTTTGAAGAGGATTGCGGCAATATAAAACACAACAATTGGGTTATGTTCGCAGTTTGCAATGTGTTTTGTTATACGCTAAAGAAGTATCAGGTTTTCGCAACGCGCGCGCCATCTGGTGGACTTCAAAAGCATTGCGTGAATTTAAGAATTGTCAGTAATACATTTAAAGCAAATGAACTGTACATCATTTTTAAATAAATAGGTAGTTTTTTCACAAAAGAGAGGAAGGCAGAAGTCTTACTCGACAAATTTTGTTCAATTGCACAGCTAAATCGCGCACGTTATTTGTGTTTTACGTTGCAAGGAAAAAACTAAAAAACTGGTTTAGTACTCAATTTCGATTGATTATTTTTTATATCATTGATTAAGAAACTCAACGCTTAAATGCTTATATAGTTACGTTAGTGTGCGTATTTTATCTAAGGGATCATGTTGAATTATTGTGTTTTTAATTGTAAATAAAATTCAAGAACTAAATCGTTTCATTTTCATGTTTTGACAAAGGGCCCAATTCGGTAAGTACATTTGTTGGTGCAGAATTAACTAATGATAACTTTACCTAATATAATTTATATTTATAGTTTGGGCATTTTTAAGAAATTAGTAAAAAATAATTTTTGCACAAACATAACCTTAAAATCAACCATTTTTAAATTTGAGTTTTCTAAAAAACGCCGACAACTGCATTTTAAACAACAAAATATACGTACAAATTCATGGCAACATAATATTATATATAATACATAATATAATGGTATTTTACCGTTGAGTGGAGACTTTCTTAATCAACGCTTTTAATAATGCTAAATGCTGTTTAAATTTAGACGACTTATTTGTTGGACGATTTTTACTGATTTGAAATGTTTACCCTTTTCACGTTAATCACTACTAAAATGTGTATTTTGCATCTACTAGGTACAATTTATATTTACCTAGACTTTATGCAGTTTATTTCTTCATTCAGATTAACACTGTTTATTGGAAAACCGGTAAAAACTGAACCCAGGATTTCCTCTCGAAATACACCCAACAACACAACAAATCGAGCCACGGTTTTTTTTCGATATTTTTTAAAATTTTCCGGCTTTATTCTCAAATGTAACCTAAGCGTTTGACAGCTGATTATTAAAAGTTGTACTTTTGTTACGATGATAACATCCAAGTGGTGGCGCTACTAGCGATACTTCTTTAGCGTATGGCCCTAAATGGTTTGTTTTAAAACGGCCAAATAAATACCTTGTTTTCTTTGCAGAATGTGGCGAGGAAGATTGTTTAAAACCAACAGTCGGAGACGAAGAAAAGTTATTTCAGTGTGACATGTGTCCCAATAAATATCCCAAAAAGAACAGTTTATATAAACATAAAAGGTATTTTCATGAAAAAGATGGGCTGAAAAAATTTAATTGCAGCGAATGTGACTACGGAACTGCGTATAAAAGTGATTTTAACAAACATTTAATAATTCACGATAAAAAAAAATATTTAAAATGCCACTTTTGTCATTACAGTTCTGCTCATAAACGCACTTTAAACGCACACGTGTGGAGCAAACACAAACTAGAAAATAAAGGAGAAAAAGAAATAAAAATAACTAGTAAAATACATCAGTGCACCAAATGTTTGTATTCGAGTATCACGAAAACAAATTATGACAGGCATGTGTGTTCAAAATTAAAAGGAAAAGCTAAAACAAGCACAGTACATCAATGCCCCAATTGTTCATATTCAACTGTTAAGAAAACGAGTTATAACAGGCACGTGAAAGCATGCTCGAAATTAAAAAATGGCAAATATTATAAATGTCATATTTGCCAGTACAAATCCATTGACAAACGTTGTTTGACAAAGCACATGAAAACCCATGATAAAATGATAGAATTGAACTGCTTGTTTTGTGAATATCGCGGCATTTCAAAAACATTTTTGGATAACCATATTTTAACCAAACATTCCGAGTTGTTAAACGAATCAAATAATAATTTAATCACTTCTAAAGTGCATTGTTGCCAATACTGTAATTATAAAACTACAATAACGTGTAGTTTAAAAAAACATTTAATTCGTAATCATTCCGAAGTTTGTCCCTCTGATCAGATTTTTCAGGATAACGAAAAAAACTGTTTTTAAATTAAATAAATTAAATTCTTGCAATATAAAGTGTGTTTCATTAATTTCATTATTTCAAACTGTGACTGTTTATTTTGAGTGCATGTATTTTTAAAAGAAACTTTAAATTCCAATGCAAATTTTGGTCAATGAAAATGTTATGCAATGAGAATTTTATCCAGTGGAAATTTTATGAAATTTTATGCAAAGAAAATTTTATCTTGTGGAAATTTTACCCCATGAAAAGTTTGTCCAGTGGAAATTTTCTCCTATAGAAATTTTATCCTGTGGAAATTTTATCCCGTGATAATTTTATCCAATGACAATGTTGTCCAGTGGAAATTTTATCCAATGCAAATGTATATTTGAAAGGTTCTTAAATAATGCCTTTTATCAGGGGCGTGCTGGGCCGCCGGGACACCGGGAGAAATCCCGGTGGTCCGGAGGGCTAAGTGGGCCGGTGTGCCGGAGGGATATGTAGGCAGCATGCCGCAGCACGTGGTCAATTAAAAACTTTTTTAGTTGAGTTATGTATAAATATCATAATTGTTTTACACATACCATACATGCATGCATGCCAGCCTGCCAGCTTTGTTTCTTTTTTCGAGATTGTATATTAGGGTGGAGCGAAAAAAAAAAATTTTTTTCCTTAGCCTGGGGTGGAATTTGTAGCATATAAAAAAAGAAAATTAAAAAAAAAAATTTTTACTCAACGTCTTGAGGTGGCCCACTGATTTTTTAAATTAAATTTAAGTTAAAATTCTTTTGAATAAAAAAAATTTCAAAAGTGTTCCGGAAACTACGGAGTGTCCTCTTTCTTGCTAATTAACAGTTATGAACTTAAAAAAATTTTTGTGGTCATTATTGTTGTTTTTAAAAAAATTCCAAAATAGTAACATGCTTTTCTGAGGCAATAGAGCGAATTTCGAGTTGAACACGATCAAATTTGTTTATTTTTAGATAAATTTAAAGATTACAAGCCAAAAAAAAAATTTTTCTACGACCACTATGTAAAAGTCATTTTTCATGATGGCATCGTTGCTTAGAAAATGAATCTTTTCATTGGCAAGGCAAAACACGAATGTAAAGTGACATTTCTGTGTGAAAAGTGACAGGTCTGTGTGAAAAGAAAGCATCGTTTGACATTCAGCTTTCAAAAAAGTTTTTAGGTTATTTTGTTTTGTATTTAAAAATAATAAAAAATAAAAGGGTCGCAGAAAAAACATTGTGTTATACTTGTGAGAAAAGCTTTCTTCAAGCTCGTGTTAATGCACACTCGGCCTAACGACCTCGTGGGCAACTTAAAAACTCGCATGAAAAAGTCGCTTTTCAACACTTGTAAAACAAATAACTATTTTTTATTCAAAAGAATTTTAACTTTAAATTTAATTTAAAAATCAGTGGGCCACCTCAAGACGTTGAGTAAAATTTTTTTTTTTTAAATTTTCTTTTTTTATAGGCTACAAATTCCACCCCCAGGCTAAGAAAAAAAAAATTCGCTCCACCCTATTGTATATTGTTTATAAGTTTCCTGAGCGATGATAATTTGTATTAATTTTTATTTTAAGTGCAATGCTATATGTTTTAGCATTGTGTAAAATATTGTCTGGTTGTGTTTGTTGCCTGTTTTTTTTTTCAAGAATTAAATTTTCACTTTATGTTATTAATTATTAATATATTAATAAATGTTTGAAATTTTTTAACTAGTTTTTGTTCACCCCCCATTTTTCGTGTATACACGAAACTATAGTTGGCCGATTTTTCTGAATTTCCCGGGCCGGTCTGATATAGCCAGCACGCCCCTGCCTTTTATCGGTAAATATTGCTGAAATATTTAAAATATATGATACAGTAATACGTACGTACGTCCACGTATGATACGAATTGTCAACTTAATAAAATTTATGTTATATCAAATTTTTCTAAATCATTTGTTTACATCAATGTTTACCTCAACTGTACCTGGTATTATTGTAAAAAGTCAAAATTTTAGAGAATAAATTTATTGTTAACACTACACCAAAAAAGCAACGTTTGGTTACCCAATTAAATGAAATTAAAAAAAACAACAATTATTAGTTTAACATTTTCCTAAATAAAAATTTTAAGTTTACATTTATCGACTATCATTTAAATGACTTTTGGGAAATTTAAACCAATAACTTTTATTTATAACAATTTTAAATTGATACATTTTTACATCCGTTCACAGATTATAGCTTAATTTTGACACCTGTCGTCTGTCATTTTTGACATCTGTCACCTAATTCATCATTTTGACATTTATCATCTGAAAAACGACATGAAGGCCTGATTTATAGATTGCCTTCCTTACTTCCTTAATTCCTCCCGTACTACGTAGTCCATTTATAGATTCCCGTACGGGAATCTTTAAACAGCACAACGGTTTTTGTATTGTTCATCTTCTACGGGAGGAAGGAAGGCTATCTATAAATTAGGCTTAACCCAAAACTCCTATAATCGTGCTTTCTCGGCAACGCCGCAAAATTCTTATTACCCCAAAACCTAACCTCAAAATAAACGTCAATAAGTGGAATTGAGGAACCGGTTGTAAAAACAAATCTACGAAGATGAGCGAGTCAAAATCGGTTAAACCAAAAAGTAACTACAAGAAGTATCCCCACCGACAGAATAGATTTTCCATGGATGTAAATCTAAAGGGGTTTCTGTGCAGTTGTAATGGTCACGAGAAGGACTGTGTCAAGGAATCTTATAATTTGTTGAATAAGTATGCAGATATTCTCTATCCTGAGGAGGAAGAAAAAGTTGATGACGATGAATCGGATGATTTGCAAAAGGACATCCAGAAAATGCAAAAGAAGAAAACAAAATTCCAAGTTTTGGAATCAGGAGCGAAGAACATTTTATTCGTTAAAACAACACTTGAAGACCCTGTGTTGTTAGCCCACAAAATAGTAACTGATATAAATGAAACTAAATCTCAACAAACCAGGTTTCTCATAAGACTGGTTCCCATCGAAACTACATGCAAAGCAAACATGAAAGATCTAGAAAAAGCATTTACGCCTTTATTGGAAAAACACTTTAAATCCGACCCAGTAAACTTTGCCATAGTTTACAACCACAGAAACGACAAAGGCTTAACACGCGACGAAGTTATCAAAAAATTAGGAGAAATGATTGCCGATACAAAAATTGATCATAAGGTTAACCTAAAAGAAGCGGATGTTTCCATTATCGTTGAAGTTGTAAGAAGTTTTGTGTTTATTGGAGTGGTTCCAGACTTTATTAAATACAAAAAATATAATTTAATCTCAGCCCCTATTGATAATAAAACCGCAGAAATTAGTGGCGAATAAATACCTAGTTGTTTTATTTTTTCACTTGTTATATTTATTATTTTTCTTACTACCTCGACTCAAAATACGTTGTTTCGTCCCCGATTTCACGGCAGAAAGTTTACGTTTCTTGCATTGGTCAAGATATACGCGCACACTCTAATAGCGGGAGTAAAAATTTTTTAGTCGCGTGCTTAACATTTAAATTTCGTACTGCCAACATGAGAAACACAAAAATATGACAGTTTTAAACCATAATTTTGCAATTATAACAACAAATAAACAATTTATGTTTTTACTTTTTTACTTTTTATGTTGTTTTAAGTGTGTAATGGTACTTTTATTTGTTATAAAGTAGTAATTTGTTAATTAAAATACAACCTTTTATTTTTACTGTATTGGCACCGCTGAATTACCATGACAACGCTACAGTTTGATTGATTTTGAATGTAAACGTCAGAATTAAATTAAACGTCAGATTTTAATTTTGACACAAATTTTTTTATATACATTTAATTTTTTCCCGTATTTTCTGCAGGGTAGTAAGAAAAATAGTATACACTACACGGGCAGAAAGTGTGAGAGTCCTGAACTGCGCGCCATGATGCCCTCGGCTTCGCCTCGGGCATCATGGCGCGCAGTGCAGGAATCTCACACTTTCTGCCCTTGTAGTGTAATATACTATTTTTTTGCTTTATAAATAAGTAAAGTAAATTTGGCTTTTTTTATTTAAAAAAATGACATGAAGTTAGCTGCTAACATCTGTAATAATTATTTTTGAGGTTATCCTCTGACGTCCAGTGGAAATTTTATCCCATGTGAATTTTATCCAGTGGAAATTTTTTCCAATGGAAATTTTATCCCATGAGACTTTTATCCAGTGGAAATTTTATCCAATGCAAATATATATTTGAAAGGTTCTTAAGGTTAACCTGAATGCACTGCATTCAATGCAGATGTTTCCATTATCATTGATTTGTAAGAAGTTTTGTTTTTATTGGAGTGGTTCCAGACTTTATTAAATACAAAAAATATAATTTAATCTAACCCTATTAATAATAAAACCGCAGAAATTAGTGGCGAATAAATACCTACTTGTTTTATTTTTTCACTTGTTATATTTATCATTATTATTGTTAATAGAAAGGGTACGCTTCGTGACACCCAAACACGAGAGATCTAAACTCGATGGGTCTAAAATTTAAAAGCGCGATGGGTCTAAAATGTGTGGCAACGTTGTTTTTGAAACGTCAAAGGCGTAAGGCTTCGTTCACATTTTACATAAAAAATAGTATTTTCTTAAATGAGATTCACCTACTTTCGTTCAAACAAGATTTCGGTCAAAGAAAAGTAGGTACTTCTGAAACAGATATGCAAAATTGAAAATTGTGGTGGAAAAGGTCATTCAGGGATTGTTTTGAATGAAAGGGTGGATTCCATTGCCAAAGCAGCATCAAACAAAAATACAGATAAATATAAAATCCCCCTTTTTAGAATATCGGAAAATACAAATATACAATAATAATTATTGGAATAAATTGCAAGATATAGGTACCTACACATATTGTGAGTTACATTTAAGTGGATCTTGGTGTTATCCAGCACTCATGGAGAGTTATTTTTGTATGGAGTATGAGATTATAGGAGTTTTATGACAATTTTACCAAGGAAATTGTTTAGAAGGTAAAGATTGATATAAATGTTAATGTTTAATGTATATAGGTATGTATGTATAACTGGTGACATGAAAAAGTTTTACTTTAATGGTGACATGGAGTCTCTCAGACTCACTGGATTATTATAATATTCTGACTAGGAAAACGAGGAGCCTCTAGGCAAAAATCCAAAAAATTACCTCCTCCACCAACTTGGATATCTCTTAGCTTGTTGAAGAAAAGTGCAGTAATTTGGAAGGTAGTATAATATTATTTATAATGTATTTAATTAATGTTGTTCTGTTTATTACTTTTATGTCAATACTAATTAAATTTCACTGTTACAGATTTCCAAGCAGGCAGTAATTTTTCCAAAAAGAGCCCTATTCCATTAGTATAGGTAAGTTTTCTGAGCTGTTCTTAAAACTGTTAGTGTACCTAATGAATGCATTTTAGGTGAAACATTCAAAACAGGTACTAGTTGTTGTTGCAATCCACAACTGTTATATAATATATATTATATACAGTCTCTGTTATTAGAAATTAATTCCAAAGTGGGAAAATGTGGAGCAGAATATCGTAAGGAAGTTTTTGAAAACTTCCTTTCAGATTCTGAAAATTATTCAGCATTGGTAATTTCTTTTTTATCCATTATCCTAGAATTTTCATAAAGTTACATTAGTGAGTATAGTTTCTTTTTCTGATTTATAGGTTCAGTTTTTTTCACAACTTGGAATCTATGAATTTATAAGACGATGTCTTGCACCCATAATTACAGATAGTCTAGATGAACAGTTCTCCTTCTTAGGGAAAAAAGGAAAAACTATGTTTGGAAGCTTATCATTAGCCAAAGCGATAATCGGTAAATAAAAATAGACTTTTAAACCCAACCCCTTTTGATTTTGCAGATTTTTTTTATATTTTTTTACCCCACTTAAAATAAAAGAATATTTCCAATTTTTTTTTATCCAACTATAGAAGCATCGAACCCACAGCTGAGTGGGTCATGTTTCTATGTTGGTAGTTACCCAGAAACTTTTTCTTAACAATATAATTTTTATTTCAGAATGTGCACAGAAATATGAGCATTCAATTAATTACAAAGAGGCTGAGCAACGAATTGGAGATTGCAAACCATGGTTAAGAAGGGCAAAAGAAAGATGTTAAGAGGAGAAATAAAAAAAATTGAATTAAATGTTTAATTTTAGCTATAGGTATATAATATATTATGTATGTATATGTATGTTTTTTTCATTATACTTTTAGAATTTTATGTAGCTGGGGTATTTGGTTCCTTAAAGGTCTTTGGGGTGCTTATTTGTTTCCTTTTATATTATTTATTTATATTAACTGAGTATTTACAGTATTTCAGTTTTTTACTTTAAATTAAATATGTTTTAAGTATTTAAACATTATTACAGTTAAGTATTTGTATTTACAAATTAATTAACAAGTTAAGAAATAACGAGCTGCAAGCTTTAGGTAGTAATGGTATTGGTGCCTGTTTGTCTGCATAAACTGTGTCCTTTCAAAATAAAACTTATTTTGAAAATTTTCGAATTATTTCAAACCTTTCTAAAAGTCATTTAGGAATATAAAATATAACATACTAAAAACGACCTAAGGATGTTCCCAGAATGTATGTCATCCTAGAAACATCCTGATGGGATGGATGTGGAGTCTAAGAGACTCCCCTTCAACTTTAAACACATGTGTTGGGTTGGGTCATATTTACATACACAATTTGGAAACAACTAATATTGGTAGAGAGTGTTAATACCATCTAGGATTAAAGGTACCAGGAGGACGAAACAGATTTAGCGCGAACTTTTAAATATGCACTGATTGCAAAGTGCTTAGAAGTCTGGTATAGGTACTCCAGGTCACCAATTAGGGGTTAAAATACTTTCATGCTAGCATAATTATTATTAAAGGCAATGTAATTATTTGTTTAGTGTTAAATAAAAAATAAAACTTAATTAATTCCCTATAATACCAATATATCAGTTATGGGGCCTATATAAAACTTATATAAATTTATAATGACATTGAATAGAAAATTTGTGCGCGAGCAGAATTTAAATTGAAATTTGCGAAAAAAAGTTAGTTTTCAGCCCGCCTTACCAGCCCCCTACCTCCAAAATTAAGATTATTCAAAATAAAGTGGTGTAATTCATAATTCACTAAAGTTTATCGACAAAATTAAAAATTTATTTTAAAAATCCAAGACTTACAGAATTATGAATTGCACCACTTGAATAATCTTAATTGGGTGTAGGGGGCTGGTGAGGCGCGCTGAAAAACTAACTTTTTTTCGCAAACTTTAATTTATATTATGCTTGCGCAGAAATTGTCTATTCAATGTCATTATAAACTCATATATGTTTTATATGGGCCTCATGTCTAATAACTGAGATATTGGTATACCCAAAATTCACCAGCCGCCACTGTCTAAACCTTTTTTATCCTAAATCCTATGTTTGTAATTTGATTAGAATAAACAAATGTATACATAACTCAGAATAAACAAGTAAACCAAAATTTTTCACAATTTTCGTTCCTAGGCTCATTTTGACATCATATGGAAGTCCACTAGTGGACTTCCATATGATGTCAAAATGAAGCTTCCAACGTACAAAATTGCAAAAAAAAATGTTCATTCAAAAAATTTAACTTTGGGTTAATAACGATTTAAATCATATTTATTAATCATTACATAAATTTATTCTATAAGGGGCTATTTTAAAAAAGAAAAAATATTTTTAATGTTTTTGTTTTTTTTTTGAACATCCAGTATGGATATCCAATGGATATCCAGTGGATATACATTAGATGTACAGTGGATATACTTTGGACATACATTATAATGTATGTATGTATGTATAACATTATAATGTATGTATGTATGTATAACTATAGTTATCCATTGGATATATATTATAGATATATCTACTGTATACTTTGTTGAAATTGGGTTAATAACGATTTAAATCATATTTATTAATCATTACATAAATTTATCCTATAAGGGGCTATTTTAAAAAAGAAAAAAATATTTTTAATGTTTTTGTTTTTTTTTGAACATCCAGTATGGATATCCAGTGGATATACATTAGATATACTTTGGACATACATTAGTTATCCATTGGATGTATATTAGAGATACTTTGTTGAAATTGCACCCATGCATGGGTTAATATTAACCCATGCATGGGTGCAATTTATCGTTAACGATTTAAATCATATTTATTAATCATTACATAAATTTATCCTAAAAGGGGCTATTTTTAAAAAGAAAAAAATATTTTTAATGTTTTTGTTTTTTTTTGAACATCTAGATGTTCAAAAAAAGTATACTAGTATACT